GATGGATGGATGGATGGATGGATGGATGGATGGATGGATGAAACACCTGGTTAAATCAGATATTTATGATTAATTACAAACACCTGAAGCTGACTCAGAAGAAAATCAAAGTCAAACGTAGACACGTCTTTGTTGGAAGACCCCCCCCCCCCCCCCCCCCCCTCACACGGCTGCGGTTCACTTGCACCACTCCACCTGCGTGTGATTAATATGGAATTTTGATCTCATTATACAGGTAACTGTCTGAAGGGGCTGACATGTCAGGCAGGTGGGAGCTGCGCTGTGCGTGGACAGGTGCAGCTGCTGCCCCTCGCTTTAAAACCAGTCAGGTGATCTGTGGTTTTGTTGTGCTCATGAACACACAGTGTTACAGTGGAAATGCTGTGAGCTGCTTTTAGAAATATAATATATATAAAATACGATGTAATCCTCGGTGGAAAATAGTCCAGGAAACACTGAGGGCTTTCCTGGGAGGTGTTCACCTGAGCTGAGTGAAGCTGACCCCCCACCCACAGAGAGAGAAAACACCGATCCGCCCTGCTCTGTTCTGATTGGGTAAAACTTTGACTCTGGTTCTCTCTGTTGGATGAAAGAACCGTCAGTTTAATCCCTACACAGCTTTAACACGTTTTTTTTCTCCCGTTCATTTTTACAATGATGAACACTTTCAGTGGAAAACTTGAACCTACCGTATTTATTCATGTATAATACGATCATCATTTTTTGAGCTTAAAAATGTAAAAAAAATGTAATTATAACCCGTGTATAATACTACCCTCCCACTTTATGGATGATTTTTTAGTGTTAAATTTCTATTACACATGAATAAAAATGACAACCAGGAGGTGGGTCTGGTTGTCTAAAACAGAAATAGGTTTTCTTGAACAACCTGAACAATGGTTGTGTCAACCCTGTCCTGGACCGGTCCGTCTCTTTTCCAAATGTTAAACCTGAGAAAGTCCAGGTGCTGACTCAGCATCCTCCTGAGCAGGTGAACCCCTCAGGTGTGTCAGACGGTTCTGTCCTCCTCCAGTCTCCATGTTAACAGTTGTTCTTTCTGTCTTCAGCTCCAGGTCTCGGTCCCGGTCCCGCTCTCACTCTCCGTCCTACAGGAACTATCCCTCTCGGGACTATCAGAGCAACAGAAGAGGCTACAGGGGCTACAACCGGGGCTACCGTAGGCCCTACCAGTACCGGGGCCGGAGCCGGGGCTACTACCCCCGTGGCCATTACCAGAACCGAGGGGGAGGAGGGGGCTACGGCTACAAGTCCAACTGGCAGGGTGGGGGAGGGGGCTGGCACGATCGCCAGGAACACTACAGTCCCAGGAGGGGGCACTCTCGCTCCCGCACGCCCAGGAAACGCTCGGGCAGCCGGAGCCGCTCCCGCTACTCAGACCGCTCCTCGTCAGGCCGGTCCCGCCGGTCCAGGCGCTCCAGCTACTCCTCGCGGTCCCGTTCCCGGTCCTCGTCCCCGCGGCGCCGCAACAACAAGGCTCGGCCCGGGTCCAAGGAGTCCAAAGACAAGCAGTCCGAGAGTCCGGCAGAGAAGTCCACTCAGCCCGCAGAGGGAACCGTCATCGAGAAGGCGTCTGGAGGGAAGTGGATCGACTACGACACCAGCCCCAAACGAAGTAGCCCCGACATCAAGACAGAAGATGTTCCTGACACCAAAGGGTCCGGCAGCACCGGCCCCCTCTGGAAGACTGTCGGATCAACGTCCCCCCCTGCAAAGAGCCCCACCAAGTCTGGACAGACGGCCTCTTTCAGCGGCTTCGGCTTCTTCACAAAGGAAGAAGCCAAGTCTGGAGATAATGTTGGGATTTCTGCTGCCTTCAAAAAGTACGTCTGACTTTTTATTTCCTGCATCTCACACTTCAACAGGTTYGACCTGCTCAGAAACTCTGATCATTAGGGATGCACCATAACTTATTTTAAGAACCGATACCGATAACCAATAAATTTCTCCTTGTAACCAATAAATAACCAATAACTTTCTCCTTGTAACCAATAAATAACCAATAACTTTCTCCTTGTAACCAATAAATAACCAATAACTTTCTCCTTGTAACCAATAATAACCAATAACTTTCTCCTTGTAACCAATAATAACCAATAACTTTCTCCTTGTAACCAATAATAACCAATAACCTTCTCTTTCTAACCAATAATAACCAATAACCTTCTCTTTCTAACCAATAATAACCAATAATCTTCTCTTTCTAACCAATAATAACCAATAATAACCATTAATAACCGTTAACATGTCAGGAGATAAGACTAGTCAAAAATAGGTAAGATCATAAATATAAATAAACCAACTGACTGTAAATTATATTATTTGAAATAAACTCTTAGCAAACAAACATTCAATTAAAATATATCCAACAAAACAATTTCTCAAATGGGCATTGTTTTAAATAAAACACATTAATTATAAAAAGACCTTTAACACTGATCTGATTTAAACAAGACAAAAAGTCCTTCCACAAGTTCAAAACAGATAAACATAAAGCAGTGCTGGCAAACATGTACATATATTATCAGTTCTGTTTGTTATGATATCGGACCGACGGGTATGACATCATAACTCCCTGATATCGGGGCAGGAGTCAGCTGGTGCTGCAGGTGGAGCTCACCTGGGCTCTGTGTTTCAGGTTCATGGCTGAGAATAAAAACAAGAAGCAGGCGTCAGAGAAGGAGCAGGCTGCAGACAGAGATTCTGAGAAGACCTCCAAGACCTTGGAGCTCTTCAGCATGTCTGCAGCTTCATACTCTGAGTCCAAAGACGAGAAGGTCCTGCCTTTCTTCAACCCCCTGGAGGAGGAGTTCCTCCAGGCGCAGGGCCTGAAGGACAGGGTCATCGATGAGGAGCCCGATGTCAAACCCACCCTCTCAGCCCGGGACATCTTTGGAAAGTGGGGCGACGAGCCCAGCTACTCCACGTCTTACCCCTCTGTGAAGGAGAAAGGCCGCAGGGACGCCGAGGACGAAGACAATGAAGACAACATGGAGGAAGAGCTGTACCGGAGCCGCAAGCATGCGTCCAAGAAAGAGGAGAAATCCAAGAAGAAGGAGAAGAAGGAGAAGTCCAAGAGGAGCGCGTCTCCTTCCACATCCTCCAGAGAGAAGGAGCGTCCTCTGTTCCCTGGAGCCTTTCCTCCTCGTGACGCGTCTCCTGTCCGCCTGTCAGTCTCCAGGGAGGACTTCGAGCTCAAAATCGGCTCCTTAGATGAGGTGCCCGGGTACGTACACACACACACACACACACACACACACACACACACA